ATCAGAGCTTCTGAAATCAGAAGACCTTCTGACGTAATCAAAATGCCATCAGGAGATAGTAAGACCCTGAAAGTGCCGGTTTCAAAGAATATGTTGGATTCTCATATGAAAGGAAGTCTTCTTGAGAAACTCAAAACTATGGTGGCAATCATCATAGCAGATGCAGAGGTGTGTTCTTTTGAACTTCTCATCTTCATCATATTAAGTGTTGTTAAATTACTATTTTTTTCCTGAAGACACAGAGGTGATCTCTTGTTCACGACTCTTATTGTTTGCCTCTTATAATAGTTATTTTATCCGATCGATAAGCTTAGTAAAGTAAGGCATACCACATGGCTTATATTGGGATTTTGCTCCCACTCATGCATATATCCTCCAACCCACCTGATTATACTGTAAATACAGTGTGGCTCATAGTTGTTAGATCTGGTCAAATCACAGGTTCAACTGGGTCGGTTGTTCACTTGCCACGTTACTGTTAAATGAAAATGTAAATAAAACATTATTTTAGATAGTGAAAGAATGTATAAAATGTTCAAAATTTAAGGCAAGCAATAAGTTAAAAATCTGTTATGAAATAAGTAGAAGAGTAATTAGAAAATAAATTGCTAAAATACTATCTTTTTTAATTATTTTATGGTTGACCATAATAATTTATTAGGAAAAGTAAATACACAGTGGATATGGTTAAATAAAAATATAGTTAGCTGCTTAAATGACTTCTCTATCTGGCATAGTGGACAATTGATGGCTAGTTGCAGAAGAAAGTTTGGTTATTAAAGCTTGTGTTGTGCAAGGAAGTTATATATTTTTTGCAGAAACTCGTTTCGGTCCTGGATTCACCTTAACTCTTCCAGTTTGGACCGGTTTATAGTTCATTTAAAATATTCCTCATTTTTTACTTGTTGATGTGTCTCATTTTGCACCTGTTTCATCCTCTTAATGCAGCTCCAAAAGGTAGAAAGCTTGTCTTCTCGTCAGTACACAGTAGCAGTCCGTATTTACCCAGATCAGAGCCACCCAAATGAATCTTTTCTCGACCAACATGTTGCTCGAACTTGTGGAACTATCTCAGATGATTCCAAATCTTCAGATACGGAATTCTTGAAGTGGAACGAAATATTTTTCTTTAAAGTTGATTCACTGGTTGGTACATACTTATTTATCTTCAACTAGTGACATTGTGCATGTGTATAACCGACCTAAGTATGAATTAAGCCTTTGTTGAGCTGGTTCTTTGCACGCCTTTTTTTGTGTCTGCTCCTGTGGTGAAGCGTGAAATTTATGAAATGTATTCAGTTTTGCTAGCATAAAGATATTGAACTATCACCTTTTGTGGTTCTCTCTCGTTACTTCTATTTCATAGCCATTAATTACTCTGATTTCTAATCTCATTGGTGCTTTACTACACTACATTCTGCATACTTTTAAATTTCTTCCCTTGTGTGCCAACTTGATGAAATTGGCATTGGAAACATGCCTAAAATACATGTTCATCTTAGGCAGTAGAATTAAGAGAGAGATATCTCTGATTTGTTAATTTAGTTGATTTATTTTTTTTCCATAGTTACTATATTTTAAGTTAGGTTCCATTTTTGTATTTTGATAACGTTTCTTTCTACTAGGAATTTGAAGTATAAATGGAAGTAGATTTTTTAATTATATAGACTAATGATTGATGATACAAGTAAATATTAAATTTCTCCATGCATTTCTT